ATGAGGTTAGGGCGCGACTTATCGCGCTCCAAGTTGAAAGACTCATAGTTGTGGCAGCAATGATATTGTTGACGGCTTCGTTTGCGACGCGTATTAATGTTCGCACCACTTCAGTTAGGTTCTCAGTTGTAATGGCTCCACGTGATCTTGGGTAATCGCTGGGGCGGTGAGAACAACGTGCGGTTGTTGGCTCCGTCCTTGTGTTATCCGCGAAGTGTAATTTTCTGCCTTCGCCACTTCGCGGGGGCATCACGTCCGCGGCGCCTGCGTCGGTGGCTTCTTATCCGCTGCGTAGGCGGGTTGGCTGGGGGCTGTAGTGTAGTTACTGCGGTGGTCTTGAAGCGGCGACGGCGATATTTGTAACTAACTGCGCCGCCGACATTAGGTCGCTATAAATATCCGCGGCAGTGGTTCGTGCCGCGGTAGGTTGTTTCGAAGCGGTTGCGCTTCTATTCACTTGCTCCGGGTCGGTCGGAGGGGGTGAGGTCGAGGTTGGACGGGGGAGCTGCCCCCTCACTTTGGTCTGTCCGATGTTGTAGTTCGCGCCTATCTCAGCCGACTGTTATCCAGCCGTCTTCACTAGGCGCGCTTCTTTGGGGCTCAGGACGTTGCGGGTCCCCTTTTCCTTGCCTCTCTTATCAGCAGCGCCTATCGTGGGCGGGGTGTCAACAACTTGCACATTTGGCTGGGGTAGTGAGCGGCAGTGGGCAATTTGCTGCGATGTGGTTATCCGCGCATCTAACGCATACTACGGGTCGATGACAGTTGTAAGAGATGTGTCCAAATTGCTGGCATCTGTGGCATTGCGGTTGGCTGGTTCTACCTCTCCATACTTCCACGGTGATGCCAGGCATATTTAGTAATTCTACTATTGAATATAGTCTAGCGGATTCCCTATTATTGATGCGCTCCAGTTGTACATAGAAAATGCATCTTGTTCGGTTTCTGGCCGGCGGTATTAATTTAGTGTATACCGCGCGGGAAGCCTAATTGTTTCAGGGCCTCTGTGATGTCCTCCGGGGAGGTTGTGGTTTCGGGGAGCCCTCTTATCCCGACCTTGGTAGGGAGCTCGGCAGCGGGTGCGTAGCAGTGCCATTTAATTGCACTGTTTTGTTCGGTTGCATGTGCTAGGTGTCTTTGTATAACACGGTATTCATTTGCGGACTGTGGGAGAAAACGCATTCTTTTGCCGTACATACGTGCATTTGGGGCGTGTCCCAATTTTCGCTTGAGCTCCGCAAAGTGGGTGGTCCAATCCGGTAAGTATTCCGCCACTATCGGGGGGTATCCTTTCTTCTTGGGTCTCAACAGTGGCCTCCGGTTGCGGTTGTTGTTGTTGAGATGTAGACGGCATCTATGTCGGGGTGGTAGGTCTGGCAATTGTTACATATGACGTACTCTGCGTCAGGTTTTGCGGCACGTCCAAGGGGGCTTCGTTGCGCTTGGGGGAGCTATGAACCGTATCGTACGAGGGTGATTGTGGCGGTTGCGAGTGGCGTGTGAATTTGGTTGCCCCGGTGTTACGGTCTTCCTCATCCTCGGATTGAACCGGCGATCCAACACATTGTCGTTTTTCATGTAACCACGCTTCTGTTTCAGGTGGCGTATATCGCCTGCGAGTCTTGCGGCGGTGGTACGTCTTGGCAGGGGTGGATGCGCACATAGACACACCACCGTCGGCCTTGACTTCCGCCACCCCCGAAGTGCTTGCGGCGCTCCTGCGGTACTCCTCTTCACTTGTGGAGGGGTCTTCAATTGTTGGTTTGTGGTGTCGCTGCGGTTGCGGACGCAACTTTTCCCTCGGGAGTTCAGCTTCCTCGGCGATAGGTTGGTCCGTTACTGCAGTCAGACGGGTCCTCCTACGAGGTTTGGGGGGCGATGTGCCCTCCATCCTTCGTGGTTCCCTCTTGGTCCGTTGTGCGGACGGTGTCGATCCCCAAGGCGAGCAATGTACCTTACTCCCTTCGGCACGGGCCACTTAGCCGGATGAGACCCCTAGGAGAGGCCCAGCGAAGCGCCCAGCGAGCAGGGAGGGGTAACAAGGCCGCAGAGTGTGGTGGTGATCGTGGTGGTGATCGTCTTGCTTCCCAGTGCGCGCACTGCCTGCCCTTTTTCAAGGAAAGGGGAGACGCAGTGCGAGGTTGCACAAGTGATCTCGCGGTCACAGAGGTGCGTGGAGTCGGCGAGGCTTGCACGGCGTTCACGTTCCGGACAAGATGGCCTAGGCTACTCGACGCTTCACGGAGTTAATACCTCGACGTTAGGCGGAGTGGCTTCGGCGGACTTCGGCTGGGTGGCTTCAATCTCTCACGATGTCGCGGAACGGGCGCTGGTTCGGACTTCCTAGCTTTCTTTCACCTCCTACCCGACTGCTGTAGCGGCACACTGCGCGATGAGCTTAGCAAATTATCCGCATCTTGTTGTAACCGCAATGTAAGGCAGCCAAGTATTAGGACCGTAAAAAATCCGCCTCGCGATTCCCCGTTCAGTCAACTCATTTTAGACTTTTTTAAAGTGACGTGCCCCCCTACAGCTGACCGTCAAATAAAACACAGCACTGTACACTACATAACAACAACTAGTGGTCCACCTGTCACGTCGCGTTCTCGCCGACTAACACCCAACATGCTTAAAATTGCTGAGAAGGAATTTAATGACATGGTGTCGGTGGGTACTGATCGCCCATCTAACAGCCCCTGGTCCACTGCACTTAGCACCCACAAAGGATGGCATGTGGCGTCTTTGTGGTGTCTACAGGCTTTTAAACGCTCGGACTATTCCCGACCAGTACCCCGTGCGTCACATAGAAGATTTCAGTCATAATTTGCTAGATCTACTTTATATAGCACGTTAGATCTGGTGAAGGCCTACCAGCAGATTCCAGTAGCTGGTCCAGATATTTGCCTAACGGCCATAACAACGCCATTTGGTCTTTTCGAGTTCCCCTACGTGCCATTTGGTTTACGCAACGCTGGCCAAACATTCCAGATCTTGCGCGGATTAGACTTCGCTTTTCTCTACATTGACGACATTTTGGTGTTCTCACGGGACGCTGAAGAGCACGCCAATCACCTGTGCATAATCCTGCAAAGACTGGTGGGCTATGCTGTTGTTGTCAATGTGGATAATTGCGTATTGGGAGCAGGTCAGGTAACCTTCCTAGGTTATAAGATAACCAAGGATTGTATCTGCCCACCTGACGACAAGATCGCTGCTCTCCGCGAGTTATCACTTCCCAAAACAGCTCAAGATTTGAGACGCTTCCTGGCAATGGTAAATTATTACCTCCAATTTCTTCACAAAGTCTCTCAGAGGCCACCATGCTTGTATATCCGCAACGAGATGCTCGTTTTGGGTTGTACACGGACGCCTCCGCTGCTCTACAGCAATGATCTGAACAAGGCTGGCAGCCGTTGACATTCTTTAGCACAAAGCTAACACAGAGCCAAAGTACATGGCCCGTGTAATACCGTGAGCTTCTCGTAGTGTACGCGGCCGTACAGCATTTCCGGCAAATACTAGAGGCACAACTTGTGACGATCTACATAGACCACAAGCCGCTTCTTTACGCTTTCGTCCAATGTCAAGAAAAGTTGCCTCTTACTCAACTCAATCAGCTTACGTTTATTTCCAAGTTTACAACTGATATCAAACATGTGAATAGACAAATACAATAACATTACTGTGGACAATAACATTACTGTGGACAATAACATTAATTGCTATGTTGGCGATATATTCTTTTAGCAAAGGTCTATGTAGTTTACAAGATATAATGTTGAAATTAAATATTATCCATAAAATTATTAAACTTTTATTTTAAATTTCTGTCGTTCGGCGAATCTTGTAAGCATAAAATTGTTGTCTTTTGTATAAATAAGTTATACACACTATAGGGTATGGGTCTCAGGGCCCTATCATTGTTAAAGAACAATATAGATTATACATCAGAATAACATATAGGCAATAATAATAAAGATTTGTAAAGTTATAAAGAAATATAAAATCACAACATATTATAAAACAAAGTCCTTCGCCGCTTCTGTCTGTCTGTTAACGGTAAACTCAAAAACTTCTGCATCAATATTCATTCTTTTCACCAATGCATTGAGTGGTTCGTAATCCCCGTCCCCCTATACCATCTTGCATTCGGTTAAGCATTTTTTTTTGTTTGGTTTTGATTCATTAGCCCATCCTCCTACCTCCTAATCTCCTACAGTAGTACTACTGTGTAGTAATACTGTGTGAAAGTTTTTGAACATATTTTTTTTTCTTTGGATATTTGGATGTATGGATGTTTGTTATTCAATCAGGCTCTAACGGATGAATGGATGGATCTGCCTGAAATTTGGTACAGGTATAGCCTGGATAAAACAGCCTACTTTTTATCCCTGGAATAGGTTGCGGGAACCGGATCAAAATTTCATTATTACTTTTGGTCGCGATAACCGACATTCACACGTAAATAATAAATGCAACAGCTAGCCGAATGAAAAAAAAAATGTTTAACAATTTTAACATAGTTTGTAGGAGTATAATGCAGTAAAAGAGCTAGCTTTTTTAGCTACCTATAACTTTTGTGTTACCACCAATCATCTTATACATCGGTATATCTATCGTCACAAACTATAGCGTTTATAATACCTACTAGTAAGATTATCATCAATAATGCTTAGTTTCAACAACTACAATTATTTTACATATACTATCTTTTTATATTTTTTGTATAATCTTTTTCATTATACCTAAATCCAACCCTGGTATTAACCATGATTAATTAACGCGATTTTTCCCCTGGCAAGAACTAACTGCTCTGTTTCAAAAACACAAAATCTTATAAATAAATTAATAATATTAATATAATCCGTTCTACAGCGTTTTCATATCATATTCGGACATTTAATTGTAAATATTTTCTCATTTGAGTACTATAGTAATTACTAAGATTCAGTAATTAATTTAAAAGGGCGTTGTTTTCCTCACTTAAAATGGATTTCAAAATGCATGAATATACACACGCTGTTGTTGGTAAAGTCACTCCAGCTTTGCGAATAACTGATAGAGCTGATCTTAATGATGCGCGGCGACAATATGATTGTTACCTGCGTCTTCTTAGAGAACTTAATTTAGAAGTTGTAGAAGTAGACTTTGGTTATACATTTCCTGATAATGTTTTGCTGGAAGACATTTCTGTTGTGTGCCACGGTATTGCTCTGCTTACTAAACCTGAATCCAGTATGGAAGATGAAATGGTTAGTTCTTTCTTCAAGAAACATTTTTACATTTTTTTAATGTTTTTCGTGGCTGATTATATTCCGTTGTAATGTTATGTGCGTTAAACGCGCTGCTGATATACGAATGTTTGCGTTATAAAATTGTTTTCAGTTCTAACATAAATATTTGTATTTAGAAAATCCTTGCATCTAAGGTCCTTACATCAGTAATGTTTTTTTAATGTCAGGAAGTGGCATGTTTTCTGGCAGTGATGTTAAGTGATAACCGCTGCCCATTGACATTTGTTTTTGGACATTAACATTGGGCCTCACCACTTCCACTTAATGCTGTTCTTCTGTAAATTTTTGGTGGACTGATCTGCCAATTCTTGCAACATTGAAGACTGTTAAATGGCCTTACCACCCTTACAAGATATTATCTTTGTAAATATCTTTCTAAATCCTTAACTATGCCATAATCATGACTTCATTAAAAATCTAATCATTATCAAACATTATTTAATCAGAACTGTTTTAAAAATATTTATATTTTCAAACCAACCTCTTCTAAGACATTTGTATAGCTAAGATAATTTTTTACTATTATATACTGTAGTGGTAAACCTATAAATTGTAAAAACTGCTGCATCAATTTTGTTAGGATTAAAAATATGACAGCTTTTTCATTTTTCACCTTATAATGACTATAAATCTAGATATATATATATCCTTTAAGTAAAACCATGGCTGTCCATGGTGGTCATTGTTGTCGACCTCAATATTATAAAGACTTTCATCATTTGATAAGTGACCCGCCCTGGCATTGCTTGGGTTCAATGTAGATACTAATATCTGATATAAACTAAGATATTCATTTGAACAACATGCTGTAAAGGGCATTGAATCACTCTTATCTATTGCTGAAAACTGCATTGTATTATATTTTGTTATTCATTAGATCTAAGCATATAAACAGCTGGAGCAACCTTGTTTTATATTATGTAATGATAAGAATTTCATAAAAAATGAGGAAAATTGAATTCACTACTTCAAAAAATTATTATTCTACTAACACATTTAATTTAATGGCAATTGTTGTAGCACAGATTACCAAATTAGTTCAGTTTTGAAATGTTTTTTTATGTCAAATAAACCTAAAACAAAACTGAAGAAATTAATTTATGTTGAATGTCTTTGTTAAATCAGTCGGTTCTTTCCTTGTTAGGCTTACTTTTTTAAAAGTTTATGACATTACTAATAGATTTGTTATGAAGCTACATAAATCATGAAGCAATTTTATACTGATTATAATTTTTAATAAATTCAGAATGAAAACTATAGATTGCACATGGCTGGGTACCTAGTACAGTAAACTTTACTATATAACACAATGAATGTTATTGAAAAGTAATGTATACCGTTTCAAGTCTGGTTACTATTATGATAAAAAATATGGGTAATTAAGTCAAAAATAATACAATAGATTTCCATCCGTTTTATTATTTTTGGCTTAATAATCCATAATTTTCATATAACTATACAATTCTTTATAATAAACCCATCCTAAGTAGATTTTCTTATTAAATTACAACTAAATGTGGTTAGTAGTGGTTTGAAACTCAAACAGGCTCAAATATTGAATAAATTATAAATGTTATATTTTGTACATTATTGAAAAATAAATAACAATTACCTTCATCAATGAATATAGAGCAGTTTTATCAGTGTATATACATAAAATAGAAAAACTATAACTGGCTAAGTGCGAGTCGCACTCGCGCACGAAGGGTCTGTACAATTATCTATAAGCGGCAAAAAAAAGCATGTCTGTTGAATGAGTGTTTATGAGATACAGCCTGGTGACAGATGGACAGACAGATAGACAGTCAAGTAAAATATTGATGGAGCCATAAAACGAAAATTGGAATTGGAGACAGACAGCAAAGTCTTAGTAATAGGATCCAATTTTACCCTTTGGGTGCAGAACCATAATAAGATAAAGTTTTCTCTACCTCCTACATCGCATTGACAGTATCCAATTGTTTCACCTACTATTTCTTTTAATCTATCACATTATATCACAATTTTTTATTCTTATAGATTAGAGATAAATGAGTTTGAATGTCACCTTTAACAACCACAGGTGTTTCAACTATAATCCATGGCTACAAAAATACTGTAATGATCAAATGTTACTTTTGCATTAACCAGCCTTAGTTAGTTTGATACCAGTTATATTATGTTTAGGTATCCAGTACATACAGTAGTAAGTAAAAATTGACACTTTTAACTGGATGCTGACCCAAGGTCACTTTCTCGAAATATTTACACTTGCTCAATAAGTACATAAAATTTTCCATTGCTTCTTTTGCAGATCAACATATTGAGGGATGTGATGAGAAAAGAGCTTGGTCAAACAGTGATTGATGTGACCGATCCAGATGCTAAACTTATTGGTTCTGATGTTATCTTTACAGGTATATACAATATATTTACTTTAAAAGAAGTAGGGTGGGTGTACCAGTAACAAACCGATTAAGCAACATTTTGAAAGTATTTTTGATGTTGTGCCTTTATTATTACAACAAACATTGCAGAAAAAGAATAACATACTTCTAGTCTATCATACAGCCATGTAGTATATTCGGATTTTCTTAGTAGCTGATAGATTTCTTTTAATTTAAAATTGAATGTGGAAAGTCACAATGTGCCTAAGGTTGACCAGATTGTACCAGCTATTGACCAGACATTGTGCCAATAGTGAACCAGTGAATTAAAATTGCTTTTAATGAAGAAAATTGTTATTAATTATACTAACAAGTTTGTTACTTAACAATCATCACAACTTTTTATCAATCTACAAGTTACAAGTAATATGTAAATGCTATAAGGCTCATAACTAATTTAATAATTAGATAATTATCAAAAATCATTTCAGATAATAATTATCAAGAGCTTTTTTTTTCTTGTTCTTCCTTGTTGTTTTTTTTCTCATTCCTATATTGCATCCACTTGCTGCTATTTACAACATCAGGTATGCAAGCTTTCTTACGCCTTTTTTGGTTGCCTTTAATTGTAGATTCAGAGGGCCACACAATTGCTAAGGGAAATGCAGGGATTATTGGTTGAAGGTGTTTCATAAAAACTACCATTTCTTTATTGACTGGAAATCCTTTTTGCCATCTTCAGGATTCTTCCTTTTTTGCCCATATAGTGGAAGGCCTCATTTTTCTTTGAATTTGATACATCAGTTTTATTTTATTTATGACGGTAGTGTATGGAATATTATATTTTCTGCATGTTTCTCTAATTTTTACGCCTTTGCTTATCTCGTCTATCGCTTTTAATATATCTTCCTCCTTATAATTGAAAACGTTCTTTTCGTCCACATTGTGTCTTACTAGGTGGTCAATTACAGGTACAAACTGGTAGTATTGATTTTACCAGTAATAAACCACTGGTCTACAACAGGGACATTGCGGATATTTTAAGAGTTTTTTATATAAATCGATTGCAGAGTATTAAGTAAATATAAATGTGGAAGAAAAAGTAAACAAATGATCAAAAAGCTATGGCTCACCAATTGTAGACCAAATAGAATATTACTGGAAAATCATTGAATTCGTGTTGCATTAGTTTACCAATGACAAAGAATGATTTTAATTAGCATTTTCTGATGAAGTAAGACGTAATTTTATTCCTTTACACATCATATTAGGCAGTTAATTGGAAAATACGTTACAGCCATTAATATAAACAAAGACTTAATATGTTTCAAAAAACTTACCGTCGACGTGTAGCTTACTAATATAGCCGCCCGGAAAGAAGTGAAAGATTTTTGTTTCGAATTATGTGTATTTTAGCTATGTAAATAGCGTATTTATAGCTTTTATTTATTATTAAACGATTGATGGAAGTACGACAATGCTACCGAACGTAAAAAAAGTGGCGGGAAATTCGACAGAAGGTTAATATTTTGATGTGAAGTTAGAAATGGTGTACTACTGGTTCCTGGTGTGGCACTGGTGGACCCACCCTAGTACATGTATAATGCAAATAGAGATAGTAAGGTTTTTTAAATAATTGAATGATTTGGCTGACTTATTAAAACTATGAGTGGTGATGGTGTAGTAGTAGAAAGTAGTACACAAAATATTACCACTTTTGGCAAGATTTAAATAGGATTAGCTACATAGTGTAATCTTGACATCTTTGGAATGACCATCAGAATGATCTTGATGATCAGAATTATCAACTCAAAGAACTTAACAATCCCATTAGCAACTCAAATAAAATTCTCTAATAAAATTCTCTAACTCAATTTGAAAATGTATTTAACAGCTTATTAGTTAACTTCTATGATCATCATGAGTGTTTCAGAAAGAAAAATATAAAACAAAAAATAATAAATAATTTAGTTTGTATTGTAGTGCAGTCAGGTTTATTGTTACATTTATTGTTTTTTTTATTATTTTAAGTGTTATTCTTAATTTAAAATAAAAAAGTGTCATATTTCAATGGCAAAGACAAAACTGCAGTGTGTTATAAAATAATGACCATTGTAAAATGTTATCTGATAGTGTCCTTTCACTATAATGATGCTCACAAGGTGGCGCCAAGCATTGCTATAATGTAAGAAAAACTAGATAGATGTTGAGATTCTCCAGGCATCAGAATATCAGGTCTTTAGCCCAGTTGGCGGTTCTAGTAATTTTTTTTTATTAACATGAAATTTACCTTAAAATTTGCACAAATTGGTTATCAGGTCGTGAATTCTTTGTGGGTTTATCGGAAACTAGTAATGAAGCAGGGGCATGTGCTGTTGCAGAAGCATTTCCTGAATTTCCATGCACACCTATAAAGGTCAGGTTTAGATTTTTTTAATCAATACAAATTATGCTTAAGAATGTAAAAATTATATCACAATATATTAAATTGTTATACAATGGAATAAAAAATTACCTAATGAATTCTGTAATATAATTATCATGTCTTGGAATTGTAAATGAAAACTGATTTACATATAATAAAAAATAGCAATTTCTTTTGGCGTTTTAAATTTCGAATTTATTAAAACTTTATGAACGGACACAACTGTATAAATAAACACAACTTTGTTTGATTTTCAGATGTCTAAGGGTGCAAAACATTTAAAAAAATACATCACTGTCGCTGGAACTGACATTCTTTGCGTTGGTGCTAGCAAAGAAGCACAGGAGCTTCTAAAAAGAATGGAGAGGGAGGCCACATTTTCGTACCAGACTCTGACTGTTCCAGAGGATGATGCTGCAAACTGCCTGTTTGTGAATGGGACTCTTATCCATAGGGCTATTGAGGAGATACCTGATTCTTTTAAGGTATTTGCACTTACAGTATGATAATGCTGTATATATAATATTGTGCGCAATGGGCATTTAGTTGCTAGATTGATAACAAAATGAGGCTTTCAAATAGAAAACCTACACACTAAATAAATGATCTGACAATGCTCCTTATAATTATTTTCATTCTTCTAAGTTGGTAGCTGTAAGTGTTTTTCTTATATTTGTTCTTCTACTTACTGCTGGTTTCCACTGTGTGATGATGTTTATGTCGACTGCGATTTGCAACCGCATTACTGTCATTATTAAAAAAAAATTCACGTAAAAATTCCGGCCCCCTGATTGGTTCACCACTTCTAATTGAAGGCAACTAGATCTTGGTTGTCCAGACACAAAAATATTGGCCACCAAACCAAGTGTGATTAGCACGGGGAGATGCGGCGAATCTATGTCATACAATATCTCACGTTTAATGGAGCAAACCCAGCTCCAGGTCTCGAGGACTTTTCACAGATATGGACACTTAAAAGACATTACGCAAGTCCAGACTAACGTGATGTCTAATACATCGGCCTTATATCTGGGAACTTAAATCTGCCACTGCCCATAGTAGCAGATTTCTTGTCTTAGCTGCCCTAGGCCCCAGCCCATGTAGTAAGTTCCAGCTGCTCCTTTCTCATAGTCCATTATTTACAGGGCCAGATTTAGAGGAGGGCAACTGGGGCTACAGCCCCAGGGTCTCCATAGAAGAGGGACCCTCACAAAAGAAACTTTGGAAAAAAAAATTTTGTTATCATCAGTGAATTTTTTGTCACAATGGGCCGCCCCTAATATGTGGTTGCCCTAGGCCCGGGCCTATTGGACCTTAGTGGAAATCCGCCACTGCCTATGGGGTAGTGTGTTGGTCTATAAGGACCCAACACACTGGACCCCTGTACACAATACCTTCCGGAGTGACTTTGTCTCGCCGATACACGAAGTAGGGAAGCTAAAAGGTTTACCCAGTCTAAGTTTAGTCACCCCAGAGAATAACATGTATGTCATGCAGTTGGTTGAGAGTGAAAAGCTCTGCCGTCTTCAGGCTCAGGTTTTATAAATTATGGGGTCACATTAGTCAATCAGGCTGTCAGACAGTCAGAGGTGCAGTCTGTCCCATAACCATTAATGCTTGAAAGGGTTGAAATTAAAATTCTAATGAAATCATGATAAAATCCATAAAATACTTTCATTTAACAATGTATAGCCTTCGCATAAAGAAGAAATCAATATAATATATGCTATTATTATTATATTTTACTACTTCCAGTTAAATCAATACTAAGAAATACTGTTTCAATAAGTTAGTCATTTATAGACAATAAATTACATCAATTATGACATTATTCTGCCTGGTCACAGTGATGATTGATTGGAAACATTATTATTGCCTTAATTTGTACTATTTACATAGAGTATTATTTTTTACCATTTCAGGTATTTTGTGAGAAGATTGATTTTGCCAGGAGATCAATCTGCTTTTCTGAACTGGCTAAAGTGTCCACTGGTCTCAGCGCATGCTGCCTATTAACCAGGAAACCTTAACCTATTTGTAATAACTAATGTTAAAATAAAAGGTGCCTACAGATTTACTGAATTGTATCATCTGTACTGAGTAGATAGAGAAATTTTTAAATGTTTCTAGACAATTTCTTGTATAAAGATTTATAACTTGAATCAAAAATTAAAAACTTGTAGCCGCTAATAATGTTGGTGTAAAACTTTTTATAGTACTTACTTACTTACTTGGCTGGCTCAGCGACCCAAAGAGGATCTTGGCCTCCGACACGAAAAGACGCCACTGCTCTCTATTCTGACTGTTTCTTGCCAATTGGCTGATTAGAGAGCTCTCAGATCTTTATGGACTTCTTCTTTCCAGCGATATCTGGGGCGACTTTTTATAGTACTTTGCAGTAAATATTTAATACCAACTTTTGGAAAGAGACAATTGGTAAATAGCAAGTATTGTATTTTTAAGTTTGATGTCAGTCTTATGCTGTCTTTCATGTCTATGGTGTTAATCAAATTTGGCATTCTTTTAGATACTTCTCATTATTCAGAATTTGTATTCCGCTTTTATTAAACGCCAAGTTTTGTAAGTTCACTATAACTGATGATTAACTTGCTGTCAATTGCAATTCATTATAATAAATTATAGCTGTAATATTGTGACTGTTCAGCAAATCTTTAGGCACCATAAAACACTTCACATATTTCGTAATACCATGATTAAATTTACAAAGGTATTAATGTAATACTACATGCACACTTTTACCGTTACTTGTGTTCAGAGGTAAGAAAAATCAATAATCTTGCCAGTCTCAAACGCGATATACCAAATCAATTTTTGATCGCAACTTGTATTCAAAATACCCTGTCGTTTAGATATTGTTTTATTGAGTTAACTGAAACAGATAGATAGAAATGGACAATAATATGACCTTGGCGGAGGATATTTGTGCTGACCATATTTATTCTTGTAATGTAATGGCATGATCATCTGATGTGTGAATGTCTTTATTTACATAATACCCAAGATACCGTAATTTTAATCAAAAACTCCAAAGTAAACATATTAATTATTTATGTTCCATAAGTTGTTTCTGAATATTAAATATGTTTAAAAAATAGAATATGCCAACGGCGATATGCCCTTCAGTTAGTATTGTCAACACAAAAGTAAACAATAAATCAATCATATAAATGTAATAGAAATACAGTGACGCAATATTTCTATTGTGTTTAGTACAATAATTAAGAGGATTTACTTGTCACGGCTTGATTGGCAATGCAATAAAATTTGCATGATAAATGATAACAAATAGGTAATTTATCATGCAAATTGATTTTTTTTATATTAATCATAAATGATTCAGAGAAATGCCTGTGAACATATATACTCTTTTCATTTGTTTAGAATTGTTACTTGTGATAGTTATCGATTTGTAGATATTTTATTCCAAAAGCACAAAACTCTTAAAATAATATTTATAATACTTCTCTTCTCTTACTGATACTCTTTTATCTGATATTATAAGTACTATACATAGTACTTAAAATAGCAATTCAATAAGTTTCAAAAATAATTTTCATATGACTGATAAAAAGTATTAATTGCAAGAAAACAATTTTCAATTTATTGTTAGACATACATGCATATTTTTTATTGTAATACTTTAATAATGAAAGTCAGTTAAATTTTATTTTAATGTTTGACTTCATAACATTCCTCCACACTTTGCACACATAAATACTAATTTTTATTGGTTTCTAATAATATTGGTGTAACTGTTCACTATAAAAATCTATGTATATTTCAGCATGTCCTATCTCAATAAATTAAAAGACAACTTTAGTAAGTTGACCATATAATATATTTTTTTTTAAAAGACAACTTTATATGAAACATGTTTAAATTAAAAGACAAGGTTATTTAGTATGGATGTGGTTTTTATATGATGTTTTGCTGTCAAGAGTGAAAGCATTTTAGCTTTTGATATTTTACATTCCTATAAAAATGTGCAAGCATTTTCAAAAAAACATTCAAAGCTTGGAGTTCGACTCTAATAGCTATTTCCTTTTGTATTCTTAGCTATGTAAGTGCAAATTACTGCATAATGATCGTACCTGCATTGTTGAGTGATTAACTGTAACTCATTTATCCATTTTTGGAAGTTATTACTGTAATCTTAATTAGAGTGTAAGTACAAATATTAAATTTAATAAAAAACATTTTGTTTTCGAAATCATGACAACATTCCCACATATTCAAGTCAGGGCCATTCTTTTTTATCTGTAATATTTTAATTTAACTGTAGTTATAAAATAACTTTGGTTTCTGCTGCATGTCTTTAAGTATCAAGATAATATGTATATTGGGTTATATGTGAAAGAAATTAAGTATTTTTATGTCGTTTATTAAATATTCTGTAAGTTTTTTTTATTTATTATATTGTTGAAATTCTTTTATAATGATAGTGGTGGTAATAACATATTCATTTATGTAAAGTTTTTATGTTGTTTAATCTAGTTTGACCACATAAATGTTTTGAAGATGAGAGCTTTGAATCTAGAAATCTCACAAAAAAAACAAATTTATAAGGTACGTTATTATTATAGATGTCATATCTTTCAACAGAGTATTTCATATAAAAAGCAATGTTTTTTCAATGTGTAGTTATGATAAAAATGTATTCATTAATCTTAAGTACTTTTTCCATTGAGTGGGGATATATAATGTTGTTATCTTACTATATCAATTATCTCAGTCCTAGCATTGATTATCTTTGTGTTGAAACCTGTAGAATTTTAAGGATCCTTTAAGCAAGGTGAAAGTGATAGGTGAAACATTTATTCTAGTGTTATATCAAAACTTACAAATAGTATGTTATGTTAGATATTTGAAAATTTGCGTATTTATATCGAGAAGTATTGAAGATATCTATTAATAATTTCGCACAAATGTTGCTTAGAATTTCGTATTTATTAACAATTTAATTTGTACGTACGTTTTTTTTTCTCGACTATTTATTATTAGAATTTAGTATTCTATATACAACGTGTCGCTACAACCGTGACAATAAATGAACACACGTCTAACGCTACTTGCCAATAATCATAAAAAATATTTACGTTAAAATAATCCATAATTAAAAAAAATATTTTTTAACAAACTAATTAAGTAAAAAAGAAACAAAATTTGTAACATCCTATACAACTAAAATTGACTGATTCATCCATTCAGAGACTTTAATTCTTTGCTACAGCATTACAAACCTCTCCTTCTAACATTATGTTTTGTCTCTTTTAAATTCATTCAACCCATTCATATGCTTTGTGACCTTTACAAATGAACTTTACGTTACAGTTTTATACGTAAGGTTGTTCTAAAATTCTTTGCTTTGGAAAATTTAATAACTCGTTAAATACTGATGTTTAAAGAATGTAAAATGTTTAATACAATTTTAAAAAGTTATCCTCTATATGTGTGTTCATTTATTGTCGTGATTGTTCATTCATCATCGGAAATTAAAGTTAATCTATCCATAAAATTGCAAGATTTTTCGAATTTTTTTAGAAACAAAATAAAAACCATTAATATTTTTTTTTCTAACTATAAGGTGGTATGGTCTATTTGACCACAAAATGGATATGATCAATGATATTTTATAATAAAAATATATTGTTAACTCGAGTGCAGTCACGAAAACGTTCAATTGTGATGTTTTGTCTTTAGACTTTAGTTCACACTAAGCAAGGCTAGTTAGACGATGTGTAAAAAACATGGATGGGGACAAAAGATGGAGTCACCTTCGGACATAGATTAACACGTCCAGATACGATGTTCTTCGGACGAGTCAACGTTACTCCATAGTTTGGTTTTTATTTTCTCTGTACATTAATTAATCTTTCATTACACACTTGACAAGCCTATAATCAAAGAATGACATGTACTTATTTTATGTATTAATTAGTATTTGATATAAATGAAAAGGTACTCATATAAAACGTGTAAATTAGAGTGCTGTTTTAATTAATTATGAAAATCTTTATCTTTGTTAAGAAAAAAGAAATGAATCTGATTGGAAAAATTAAAATGTCGCCCAACACAGTTAGGTAATTTATCTTTGTATAAAATCACGAACTACCATGAGTTCGGCTTGCACCTTCTGTTTAAAGAACTTATTAATAAACATGTCGTGATTGGGGTTGGGTTTGCATGGGTTTCGCATGGTGTGATTTTAAACTTTCACATACCAAAAAGTGACAAACACATGGTGTCCTTTTTTTTTCTTTAATTTTCTTTTATTGCTTTAATAACGCTATCCTTTTTATACTATTCGACATGTACGACAACGTTATGATGAGCCGTGTTTGGAACACTTCGAGTAAGCGGTGTTTTTATTATCTTAAATATACATATATTTACTATAAAATATCGTTGTATCACATGAATCAGTTTTTAATCTAACTAGCAGTTTTTGCTGTATTGAAATCACTAGAAATAAAATTAAAAGGAAATAGAATCTCTTAGTAGTTCTTGTTATTAACTTATTTGTAGAATATAATTCACATTAATTTATTATTATTAATTAATATAAATTACATTCAGAAAAAATCATATTATATCTAGGATTATTAAATCTATTGACATGACTTTTAAAATTATTGAGTGTTTCAAATTAATTGTTAATGATTGTAAAATATTCTTATAACTATGTTATTTGTAAAGCTGTGGCTAAAACTCTGTGGCATGCCTTAAATGTTTTAATTTAGAAAACAAAACAGTTTTCATAAGTCGTTGGAAAACCCTTAATCTTTATAAATAACATCGTTACATAATTAATTATTTCGAGCTTTAGCTTATCTTGTATGTGGCATAGTTCTTTTAGACAACATATTGGATGTGTAGTAGGAATAAAGCTAAAATACTAAGTATGCATTTTCATTTACTTACCCAATTATCTTAAAGAACCCTTTCATTTAAAAAAGTTGTGCACAAAATTTGCAGAGTGCGAAAGTTCGCTTGGATGAAATTGAAT